GAGAGGTGATTTATTTGAACCGGCATTGATCCCTTTGAAATTTCTTCAAGTTTTGTGCAAAGCTACGCTTCTGATTTACTGTCAGTCCTATAGAATGTGAGGAAATCTCATTGGTCAATTTGTCTCCAGATTCTACGAAATATTATAACGCGATGTACATGTGTTTAATAAGTACTTTGAGAAATTAAAATTAATTTGAAGAAAACACATCTTTCACTTACGATGTAAAAAATTTGAATTTAGTAAGTAATTTATTATATAAATTACATATGCGTAAGAAAGTGATGAATACTTTATTATTTATGAATTTTTATATCTACAAGCTTATTTTGCATTGTATATGTAATAAACATGCTCTTATATCAAACAATAGAATCTCTCAATGAAGTTCGATAATGTGTTAAAATATTATTCCTATTTAAAGTTATAACAAGAAATCTAATTGTTCTATACGCCGTGTTAATTATGAAGCAAACAATTCTATTTGTTTAATAAAAAAAGATAAATTTAGTTATTGCTAGATTTATTTAAAAAATATATTTTTTTCTAAATAATAATAGATATTTTAAAAAATATTTATTTAACTCTTCTATATATTTTTAAAATTTTGCCATTATTTAAATACACACAATTTCCTTTAAAAGCAAATTGCTCGCTTAATTGTGTCCGTTCGCTTTGTGTCCCCACTATTTTGCCTATAAGATCTGCTCCGAGCTAAGGCTGTTAGTATACTAAATAAGCTTTCTCCATCTTATTCGCAAAGCAAACTAGTCATAGAAATAAAGCAGTCGATAATTCCTGGAAATCTGGAAGTCATGTATTCATATCCAGATATGTTGCAGAAATAACACCCCGATTCTATCATAGCTAAGCTGGCATTGTTGTATTTTCACTTATCTATTTCTTTCTTAAATTTTATAATATATTTGATTAATTTCATAGTTTTAGCTTTAAATTTCACATGTGTAATCTAGGCTAATATATTTCTTTAATAACAAATTTATTAATATATATGATAAACATTATCATAAATGGCTATATTTTTTTAAACATGTTATATTTTCTGTCATAAGTAATATTTAAAAAATTTTAAGATATCGTCCTGTGTATCATCAATGAACCAAAGAATACATATATAATGTATGATTAATAAAATAAAAATTATTATACTATATATCTGTCTGTTATTACAAAATCGATTAAATATTAGACCATTTAAAATGTCATATATTTTTTTAAAAATACCTTTTCCGTCTCTTCAGTGAAAAATTTTTTGAATATTATTCTATTTCGCTTTTTATTAAACAAAGTATACGGATTTAAATAAAATAATTTCTCCATTGTGATATTGATGTGAATATAGCAATTATATCCTCAATTCTATAAAAAATATGATTTTATTTTGTTATACATTTTGAATGATATAAACGTAACCTTCAGGTGTTAAAATCTCAAAATTAATTGGTTAACTTTGAGATTTTGTAATGTAATGGATGTTTCTAAAAATCGACAGAGATACAAACATTATACATGCCTGTGCTTTTCAATAATGGGACAAAGAAGATTTAGAGTTTCGGTAATTTATAAAGCTACTTTTATTATATATTGTGAAGTTATTATCATTTAATTATCTATATATGTAATTGTTTTGTTTTAAATTATTGCATTAAATTTTTTTATTTTATAAATATAAAGTGTTAGTATAAAATTACCTCTAAATAATTCAACAATTATTGGATAATTCAACAATCATCACTTTGAGATGGGTGTCCTTATTGCTCCTCCGGAAGCAGGAGATGCATCAATTAACATCATACCACAAATGAAGAAATATCCTGCTACTCTTGGAAAATCTTCTAAAAGTTTGGTTCCTGCAATATCAGACAGAAATGTTACTAATCGAAGTGCTTTAATGATTGCATCCAACTATGATTCTACCAATAATATAAACAAAGATGCATATAGACACACAGTTTTAATGGATGATAATATGTTTGATAAGATGAGCAATTCTACAATTAATGATAGCTGCCAATTCTCTTATTACAGGTTACACTTATTGTTATATTTCATTATGTAAAATATTATGACACAGATTTTACTTGAATTGTTAGATGCCTATTTCTTATAGGAGTAATAAAAGCGATAAATATGCTGATGCAATTTTGGTAAAAGATATAGGTGTATCATGTAAGCTTTTAAATCAGAATACCTCTAAAATGGATCTTCCTGAAACAAAAACTCTTGTTAAGCATCTCAAAAAAGAATATAATGATTTGACTAGCATTACAAATAAAATAACTACGTACACAAAAGACATATTGAGCCATTTATCAAAGAAAAATCAAAGAAAGCATCCGCTTCCTAAAGATTTGGTATTTAATTTGTTATATAATCTATAATTACTATAATGAATTTGGTATACATTAAATCTTTATATAACCAATGTTTGAATATAACTAACTTTATACTACTTTCTTTATAAACATAAGTGAAAACTGAATGTTATTTAGAAGTGAAAGTTCAATTTATATGAAATACAAAAGCAATTCATGTTTTATTATATTCTATAGATAGCTTCAAAACATGCAATAGCATCTCAGTATGTGGACACCAAAGGTAATCTCTGTTTGAAATTGAGACTTTTTAGTAATGCTGAGACTCAATGCACTGCTCAGCAAGTTGTTAAGGATTCTGACAATATATTGTATAGAGACAAATATGTTACGAAGGAATTGCACAGTAAAAATTGTAAATGTTACAATTATCTTATACCGAATTTAATAAAAATTTGTTTAATTTAATTAAAACTGTGTGCATATATAGCAAAAAATAAAATTTTAGATCAAAATTATATAAAGCATGAAGATAGTAGTAACATAAAATCAAAACATGAAAAAGATATCCAAACAGTAATTCATCAAGAAAACGCGGAAACAAATACTCCAAATTCAACGTCGTCCAGTATTTACAACACCAAATATGTAACATTCAATGACGTGCCTAAAAATAAATTGAAAAAAAACAGTGATAATAAAGATTGTGCAAATCAGTTAGAATTCAAAAGGCATTGCCCAGCAATATTCACTAGTTGGAAAGAAATTTCAAACTCGAAACAATCCAAGAATAAATCATTGTCCACGTTTTCTACTGAAGCGCAGCAAACGGTTGGTTTAATAATATATGTACATGACACGAAGATAGAATTTATAATGTGATTGTAATCGTTATTTTCTGATTACAGGAAAATGCAAAAAAGAAAATTTTACAAAAAGAACTCCTCAATTGTAATACAATTAAAAATATGTCAAACACAAAATTTCACACAGTTAATATTCGAATTATTAAAAAAAGTAAAAAAGATACATAATTTCTTTTTATCTTTTATGTTTCGATATCTGTTTGTATGTAATAAATATTTTTATACCATTTCAAATTTATTGTACTTCCTTTGATTTTAATAGTTTTAATTAATTTACATTTATTTTTACACTTGGTTGCAAATTTTTACTAATTGAAGTATTTTTTTTTCGATTTTCGTTCATACGAGTATCGATATTTTGTAAATCGATAGTTTGATTTGTCTAGTGATATTTAAATCTTATCAAATAAAAAAACAAAACATATGAAAGTTTAATTTATACGTTGTATATAAAGTGTATATTATTAAAAACTTTTATCACATATATTTAGAAGAAACTGAAACATAACCAATATAGGTTATGTTTCTGACTGTCAAGAGCTTATAATTTGTGTCATAAATTTTTCTGAAATAAATCTTTTTATCACTATATTTAATAAAAACAAAGGACATGATTTCTGATGAATGTAAAGAACGTCATACCTGGAATAACATAAAAATAAATAATGATTCTTACATGGTTTCTATTACCCAGAAAGATGACACAATTAAAGTCTTTTTAACTAATCTGATTGAAATATGGATGGATACACTGACAAAAGAAATTATTTTAGACAGATGTCGGGTAATTAACTACAATGCGTATTTTATAGTATTTTATAGATTCTAAATAATTTTGATATAACAAAACTTTAGCTTTAATGAACTGAATTCAATTTGGTTATTTTAGTTATTTTACTTTTAGAAATTGAATCCGCTTTTAAATATTGAGGATCTTAATTATTACGATGTTGTATTAAATATTTTGAACAATATGTCGAGAAACATGATCAATGCGTCTGTGGAACATATAAAGTTACGAGCTGAAATAGATGGTGGTATGATGAAATTTGATGTAAATTTAACCAAAGGAACATCTCAAGATTTTTGGGAAATCATAACTAAGCCTCTATGTATGTCAACAATGGAAATTAGCCGTCAGCATAAATTTCTTTTAGATTTAGTGAAAAAGAAGGATGAAGAAATTTCTGAATATAAAGCAGAAGGAGCAGAGTTAATAAGAAGTATGTTTCTTTTATCATATATTACAAATACTATATTGATAACATAAGATTTCATTGTTTGATACAGAGAATATTGAAACAAAACGTTTTGAAGAGGAGCAACTTAAAATAACAATTCTTGATCCAAATATTATTGATTATACAAATATATTCCAAAGTGCGATGAATTTTTATAATGAATTTAATTTATATGAATGTAGTAAAACCTCTAAAGACTTTACAAGGTACTGATAAATAAAACATTATTTAACATTAATTATAGAAAACTGTAATAAAAATTTATATAATTTATAATATACTACAGCAGTAACAACAGCAGTAATGACGATATGCAGAAAATGATGCAAAATAGATTTGTTCAGAATTATAGTAAAAATGTATGTAATTCTGAAGATACTACTGTGCAAAGAACCACAAAATCTGTACATTCAGAAAATGAAAAGCAAAGTAAAGATACAACTAGCAAAAAAGTAACCAGTAATAAAATTGGAACTGCAAATTTATCATATAGACCGCCTAAGAAGTTAAAAAAAGGTTTGAATGAATCTATATTATAAAATATAATATCTAATATCTATAAAATATAATTTATATATTTATAATATCCAGAGAAAAAGGTATTTGATAAAAATTATTGAAATACTTTTTCTTCCTACGTTTATTAATTTAGTTATAGTAATTCAAATGAAACTACTTTAGCTACTAATTATAGTGAAATTGTAGATATATATTTGATATACTTATATATATATAATATAAAATTGAATTAATATTTGGATTAATATTTTAATATTCAAAAATACTAGAATATGCTTAGATATTGTTTTAATGGTATTTTATTTTAAAAAATATTAATTGATAATATTAATACATCATCAGGTTTTTTATATGAAACTGTGAGAACAGTTCAAAATAAAATGTCTTTTTTTACTTTTTGTTTTGAATTTTATTTTTGTGCTCTTTCTCTGGATATTGTTCTAAATGTACATATATTTGTACATATATTTATAACTTTATTATTTTAATGGAAAATTGTACATGAAACATAAACTGTATGGTGTAAAAAAATGATTATTTTTTTTATGTAATATTCACATGAAAAAGAAACACATAGATATGAAAATATGAACTACTTGCACATATTTCTTACATTCCCTCGTTTGTTGTTTATTATTTATTTATTATATTAAAAACGATTATATTAAAATATAAGTAAAAAACTTAATTTTAAATAATACTTTAAAAAATTTCACCGGGCTCGTCCGGGATTTGAACCCGGGACCTCTCGCACCCTAAGCGAGAATCATACCCCTAGACCAACGAGCCGTGCTATGAAGTATTTTCTTTAGTAGAAATATCTTTCTTAATGACGGCAACACTGTCAATTTAAAGTATTATCATTCTTATTGTTTAATGATAATTTCTCATCGTACATCGTATAGTACCTTGCGTGCAAGATGGCGGAACGGAGCCAGCGAGACTTTAACAGGAGTGCATTGACAGTACGAGGTCGACGGGTAAATAACGTATATTATTATCAACACACAATTTTAATGGACTTTAAATTGTTCTGTACGCAAACTGTTGCACGTGGTTTTAATAATTTAGGCTTGGTATACGGGACAACGAGCAGAAAAGATACCCGAGGGGTTAGTGGGTGTCGTTGGTAATGATTGCATGGGTTTAGATCTGTCTTATAATGAACTAACCTCTATCAGCGTTGTTAAACACTTCCGAAGTCTCCAGGAATTGATACTCGACAACAATAAACTGCGGGACCTCAAAACGTTACCTTGTATACCGACTTTGACTACACTCAGTTTGAACAATAACAAGGTTTGTTTTTTTGCTGTTCCACTATTTCAATGTATTAAACTTCTGTCACTGCATTGGGTGATCATGAATTATTTGACGTTGTATATGTTAACAAATTTATAATATAAATTAAATGACTTAATAATTTTTTAATTACGATATTCTACCTTGTATTAAATCAATCAATTATTTATATGTATGCCGCTTTGTGTTATATCAACATTTTTGCAGACAATTAGCACACAAGTGTCTACATAATTATTGAACGATTAGTTAATTCTTTGAAACCCGTAGAATTGGAAGAACAATTGTTTTCTTGTTTCTTTATTTCATTAAAATTTTATTTCGAAATATTCACTTCAATATATTTTAGTATAATGCTGTGAAGCGTTAGCGTTATCTTATATGTCGACAGATTTATCTTCCGCTGTATTTAAATATTATAAAGTTCCTATTTATAGTGACATTTTGTGTGGTCTTTTCCATTAACTTTTTTTTTTTTTTTTATATTACTTTTCATTGCATGTAAATTGTATATTTTTTTCTTTGTATAAAAAAAAAAAAAAATAAAAATTCCAAATTGAAATTAAAAATGAAGAAAGGCTTACTAAATTTTGTTAATTTTTTTTTATAGATTTGATCATTATGAAGATCTACAGATATAGATATACCGAATAGTAACATTATTAATTAATCCAACATTAATCTTTTCTAATCTTCTGCGATATCGTATTACTCGCGGATGATTTTTAATTAACGAACAGTTCAAAAACATACACGATATAACGCTGAAATTATTGCAAAGAAATAACGAAGATTAAAAATGAACTAATGTTGCGTATATTGCTCGATTTTCGCACAAGTATTACAATTACTCGAAAGAGATGAAATAAAATGTTTGCCTTCGTCGTTGAGTTAACTGTACTCGCCGCGATTGGGAAACTTTTCAAGGAACAGCTTATGAGTTATTCATCTCGATTAAAATTCCAAACGTGCATCGATGATACACTTTTCGTGTCTTATATCATCGAGAATGTGAATCGGTTCGACGACATTTATATCGTTCACCTTTCATTTATCGTCGATAAATAAAACGACGGTGATGTAATCAGGGCGCAAATTTGCATATTTTCATCAGTAACGGTATTATTTAGTTATAGTATTAAATTTTTTGTTTATTTAAACAAATATAATTATAAGTAATAATTCAATCGATTAATTGAAAAATTTTACTATGTATTTCATATTATACGATTGTTTATTATTTTAAATAATAGATACTTCGTGAAATATATAATTATAATTCACAAGAAGTCTGAATATGAAACACGATGTACTCTGAATTATGAAATGTACTGACGAAGTTTATAATGAGAAACAAAAAATTGTTTAGATAACAGATGTAGATAACGCGTTGAAAAGGATACAGGAGTGTTGTCCGAACGTGGTGTACATAAGCCTGCTCGGCAATCCAGGATGTCCCGATCAGTTGACCAATCCAACATCAACCGACGACGAAGATTATAATCGTTACAGGTTGTACGCGATATACGTACTACCTCCGACTCTTCGTTTCCTTGATTCACGATTTATCACGCGACAAGAACGGAATGACGCTGAAAGACGAGGGAAATACTCAAGGACTGTGAAATTTGTCCCAGGATTGTCGCCAAAATTCGTTCAAAACCCGATGGACAAATTCGATGATTATTTCTTTAATGTTAATTATACACCTTTACCAACGTCAATTCGTGATCCTCTTGATCACAAAGGTACGATATAGTCATACTTCATTATCAGCATTTTATTATTCTTATGACTCTGTTTTCTTCTGCAGATTATTCCAATCAAGAAGTTGAATAATGATATCGTATTATTGACGTTTTGAATATGTATTGAATGATATTGAATATTTATTATATAATAACTGGCAATGTAGAATTAATTTAATGTCAATATCAAAGGTAAATGTCCAAGTTACTAGTACTTGTATTGTTAGTAGATCAATCAAAAACGCTGATTAAGAAATTAAGTTTTAAATGAAATAGATATTTAATATTCTCCACGAAGTGTTAAACACAATATCATTATTTAATTTCAATTTGTAAAAACACTGTTGTTATCAATGAATCAAATATTTCAGTAGAATTGAATTCACCTTGTTAGAATATATATTAAACTATTTGTGCAAATTTGTGTGTCAACGACAATACTTTCTGTTCTAGGAGCATTTGGTAAATGCAAATACCGATATTCTGGAAAGAATTCGGAAGGGAATCGATTTATTTCGAATAACGATCTCTGAACATAAATCGGGTACCTTTGCAATGTAGGCTACATTTTCCCAACAAATGATAAAACCAGTGATCCAGGCTCGTAGAACAAGTACTGAGTGAAACAATGCACAAATCTTTTTTACTTTTTCGACATTTTTCCCCTCTTTATTTTATTACGAAAAATCTCATCTACCTGCCTGACGTCGCGTTTGTTCGAATTTATGTCTGATATTTGTTAATCTTTTTTTTCTTTTTATCTACATATATTGAATAAAATATAAAATTCATCATGAGTAAACGTACAAAATTTTATTATCACGTACACTGATGAGTGGCATATAAATAAATGTCCAAGTAATATCTCTATTTCGTTCCAATTCGAGTGTTATTACGCGACAGTTTGAGAACGGAGACAGAAAACGCGCGTGCGTGTCATGAATTCCAACACCTCGGTTCTTTTCTTCCTGCTCATCAACTTTATTATCATAATTTAATGTTATTGGTCCTTAAACGTACACAACATAGTCTCGCAACAATACTTTCTACACGCAACAAACTCGGTCTCCTCCCTTGGCAAGCCGCGAACAAACGCAGCTCATCGAAACTCTCGTTTCACGTTCACAAATATCCCCTAATCGATCGGTCCGTTGACACGCGTTTTAAGAGAAGAACTTACGTCGAAGGCAGTTTAAAATACTCTCGATTTTTAACCCTGTATTTAGGAAGAACCTTACGGATAAGTACACGATCCATGTTACGCTCTATACTTGCCTATATGCAATAAACCGGAAACTCGGCGTTGTAATAATTAATTAAATACGATTACGTCAGCCTTTCGATTCGTTCCGGATGTAGTTAGTATTCCTTTTGCTATTCCTAGAAGGAAGTATTCACGGATCAGTGTTTCTCATGTATTTGTGTATTATCGCAAGCGCATCCTTTACTCGCGCACGCTTCTTTCTTACGAAACACTGATTTTCTTTTCGTTTTACTCAATCAAGATCTTCCATCCGTTGACGAATAACCGGTTCAAAGCCCCATGGCCTATCATATATTGTGTATCCCTACGTGTATGTATAAATATAACATTTATATGAATATATTTCTATAGAATAGGAATCGGTCATATTTAATCCCTTAAATACACCGTTCCATCGGGTCTGGCTGTGTTCAGCGCAAGAAATCGTTTCGAGTATTGTACACACTGGAAGCATCTTTCTCTCCAAGAAAGGGAAGTGTTTACAATGCAAGCCACGTTCCAAACGCTGGAACTTTTTATCCTTGAATTAATGTCAAGTAAAATATACTTCATAAAATATATATGTGTATATATCATTTGTGTTTGTTCTTTTCGTTCACTGAAAGATAGGACTATTAAAGTTTCATTGTATTGCTGCGATCGACGAATCGTTTTCCAAGAATGTGCACGTTTGGAACGAGGCCGTATTAACTCCAAGTTCTGTTTCTTACTTTCGCGATATAATGTACTTGGCCACGAAGAACGTTCATGCACGACGAATACTCGACAGTCATCACGCCTCGCTACTGGACGGATGTCCGCGTTTAAAAAAGTTTTCCTCCGCTATCGTTTAAAATCAAATTCTTATCCAACGTGTTGAGAACGGGACACGTCATTTCCACGGTATTGCACGAATTTTGCGCGTGTCTGTATATCAGATGCCTGGCTAGAATCTTAAATCTGCTCTGTAAGAATATATACGCAAACACGAAATGGATGATTAAAAAAATGAACAAAGACAATGAAGAAAAGGTAACGAAGATAACAAAGATATACAAGGATACAATGATAGAGAAGAAAAGAAAGAAAAATTACTCGAACAACATCGTATGATCTTTCATACAGCAATTCAAAAACAGAAAAAAAAAGAACGTAATTCGAAACAATACCTGCAGAATAATGTATTGCGAAAGCAAACGGGAACTGCAAACTAAAATTCTAACTAACGCGCAATTACGGTCATTTACAAATTAAACTGGACGTAATGGTAAGTAGATACTAATTTTAGAACCAGGATTAGATTACTTAGGACATTTCAAAGGCCAATATTTCGTAACGACCACTGTCGGTTCCTGGAGAATTTAGAGCCTAAATTCATATATACAGGATGTTCGCAGATTTACTAGCCAGCACATTTCTCATAAACGACAAATGTGAGAAAAAATGGAAAAGTAGTTCTTTTTAAGCAATATAGCAATATGATGTATGAAAATTTTGTTGTATTTGCATCGCTTTTTTCAAATGAAGATGAACTTTCATTTTTTAAATGAAATGCTACGTACTTTTCCTTATATTACATGAAAATATAATGTATCAAAACAATTACCAATGATGTAGAATATAATGATCTTTAGTGTTATACAAGATCAAAAATGAAAGAAAAATTTTGAATATTTCGTACTATTATTATGAATACATAAGAAATGTATTTATAAAATATTCGTACTTCTATTTTCCTTTTTTAACCTCGTGTGGAATTTTATGGCATATGGTTGAATTCGTCTCCAATTATACTTTTATATGATATAAAGGAATATGTTAGCATTTTATTTTAAAAATTGAAGATCATCTTCGTTTCTAAAAAGGTAGGCGCAGATGTAAAAAAAAATTTCGTACATCGTTATGTTGCTTACGAAAAACAATACTTTTCTTTCTTCCATTTTTGTTCTCACACATACATATATACTTGTTTACGAAGAAGACGCTCTAGTCTGTAAATCTATGAACATCGTGTAGACTGTGTCCCCTGTGAAGAGGACACAACGCCTTCGTATCAGTCTCGAAGGCACTGATTATTTTTTCGCCATTCTTTCTTTTTCTTTCGTATTTCGAAATTAATCGACGCGTGGTCCACTGCTGCACAACCACACATGTACATGATGTACGTATGTGTGTATGTATTTAAGTTAAACTAGGCCGAAGCGTTTCGAGCTTCGTTCATACGCAGACGTGCAATGTTCGCGATCGAACGATGTCACTTAAGTACGAAGGAAATCACTAAGACGGCACGAGATGCTTATGATGATGTGCTGTTCTTCCCGTGATTATGCAGGTTCGGCCTCAATGTCACGGCACCCTCGACCCAGAAGTTGGGCCTTTCGAGCATGCTTTGCCATAGCGAGAGCTCTCGACCGGTTGCGTCCATCCAGTCCACTGGTTTCCCGTAGTGTTTCCCTTCGAAAGATTAATTAATTTGTTTTATACATTGGCTGTCCAAACTGAAAAGTTTCTACGGCAATGTCGTAGATCCTTTTGAACGAGGAACAAGGTAAGTTTTAAATATTGTTGACTTTCACAAATAAATTTCACATTCGTAAAATAATCAGATTATCTTTTCTAAATAAAATACGTGACCTTCCTCAAAAAAAAAAGATTATCGAATTATCATACTAAAAAACTTAAATTTTAGTTTGCTCTATGGAGACATGTACCTGTGCCAAGATTAAATCGAACTCCGCCCAAGAATTCGTTGCTAGCGATACGATCGTGGTCCCAGACTGTCAATTCGAGGCCACGTTCTGCCAATTCTTGCAGGCTCACGTCCTTATAAATGAAAGTATGACCCCATACCGGTGAACCGCCAGATCTGCGAACCACTCCAGTCTTTTGTTTCCCGGAACGGCCTTTGTCAGGTAGTAAATAACTGGAAGTATTTAACAATCATCAGCATGGTTCCTTCCGTTCAAATTCCACATTCTGGATTATCTATTTGGATATGTACCTTTTACAGAATGGGTCGCACGTTCCTGAATTCTTCGCCCTGGTTTGCAAATTTCTAGCTTCCTTCACGAGTACGTGCAACGAGCCGCGACTCCAGTTCTTCTTCGATTTCGAAGCACCACGATCCACCCCTATTTCTCGGTCTCGTTCCTGTTGCGTGGGATCTGGCGGCACGAACTTCAGGCCGACGATCACCTCGCCCTTGTATGCAACAGGATCGTCGAACGGTTCTGTCTAAAATTTGCAATTTCACGATGACAATTGAATACGCAATAACCATTGGTGGAGATAATTTAATAACGTTAATAAGATCGTTCGAGTTAAATTTTGGAAAATTTGAAAAATGAGGGGAACACTGATACGTTCTGAATAGATTTTTAGTACTTCAGATATACTCTTATCGAAGATCCAAATAATTAAAATAATTAAATAAAAAAAAAAAAAAAAA